AATTCAATTTCTTAGTAGATTTTTAGGGCTGCATTAAAATTCAATTTCTTACCAAATTCAGCACACCTTCTTTGTGTTTTCTGGATCTACCTACATCTTTTTTTTTTTTTTTTACTTTTATATTTTTTGCATCTCATGTAAGAATCATGCATCATGAATCATGAGTTTAATTATTCCTTTCCATCATAAACAAAATCCATTAACCGAAATGGGTAAAAACAGATCAAACTTAAGTTCAATAATTAGGATTTTAAGGTTCTCTGCAGATTTCATTTCCAGCCAAAGAAATTACGCCAAACTTCAATCCACATGCAGATTTTCAATGAAAATTTAACAGAAAATAAAACAAACATTCTTGATCATCATTCATTTTCCAGCAAAATTCATACAATTTAATAATAGACTATCAAACATTCACTGAAAAACATCAAACGAACACAAACATGGCGAAACTTTCTGAAAAAAAAGGTAGATCCAGATCTGATTGGAGGGATCCTACCCATGGGACCAGGCTCCGTTCTTCTCTCTCACTACCTTCCCAAAAACCCCTGTTTCGAGTATACCTAGAAGGAGAAAGAATCAGGTTGAAAAGCAACCTTGTCGGAAATGGAGGCCTGAGTAGCGAAGATGATAGGAGACTGAGGAAGCTGGCAATTGAGAGAGGTAAGGAGAGACCCAGGGGCTGTTCGGCTGCTGTGAGACGGAGGAGACAACTTGCAACTGTTGTTAGGCAAAGGCAAGCAGATCGATAGTGAGGAACCAGTGATGAGAATGGTGATCGGTGACGGAAGGGGTGAAAACTGATGATTGGAGAAAATGGAGAAGCGGGGTTCTGGATGGGAGAAGGGGATTCTAGATGGGAGAAGAATTGAGAGTTTATCCTTTTCTTTTTTTTTTGGTTCTGTTGTCCCCCTCACTTTTGTTTTTTTGTGCTGCTCCCTTACTTTTTAAAAAGAAAGGAAAACTAGGGTTTTTTTTTGGGCATCGATGCTATATAGGTATTAGTAACAAAGGGCATGTTGCCTTATTTTCATCAGCATATCTTTTGTTACTGAAAGTTAAGTTCATTTTTTAAGGGGTTATGTATTGTATCGATATTAGTAACATGAGTTTTATTAGTGAAAATTTATATCATCAATAAGTAATTTTATATTACTGATAGTTAGTTGCTAAAAAAGAGAATTTTAATAGTTAATAATTTTTATAAATTATTTTTTAAATTTAATTAAATATATATTCAATTAATTAAGAATTTTTTAACATATTTCTTAATTTTCTTATTAATTATTATGAAAGGAATTTTTTAAATTCAGGTGGGTACATATTAAAATTGTAATAAATATATATTTTTTGTCATAAATTTATATTGAAAGAATAATATTGTCTTTTAATTTATTAATTATTTAATTAAATTTATCAATGTAACAATGATACTAAAATTAATATTAATTTTTACATTTTTCTATACAAATTAATGATAAAAGGGTGTATATAAAAGCAAAAATTAAAAAATCTTGGCATTTTAAATATTATAACTTCCTATAAAATTATTTAAATACTTTTAATGAATTTTTTTTATTGATTTACTAAAGGTACTTTAATATTTTTATTATTATTTAAGGTATTTTAATTTATTGATAAAATTTCATATTTATCCCTAATTAAATATCACTAAAATAAGACTTTTTATTTAATATATATCGTAATTATTTTTTTAAAATAAGGGTTAATAAGAATAAACAATTAAATGATATCTTAAAAATCAAAAGTGAATAATTAAATTTGAACACACTAAATAAAAAATTAAATCTACTAAATTTGAATTAAAAAAATTAATTAGAAAATTAAAAAACATGTTAAAAAAATTTTATTAATTATCACCGACATGGATTATGTTGGTAAATCTCATTCTAATTACCATATTACCCATGTTGCTAATTTTTTTTTTTTAAACAGCAAAAATTTTTATTCAAATGGAGTACAAGGGTATTCCTAACCTATAAACATCAAT